ACTAACGAAAGTAATCAGATTTGTGAAAAAGAATAAGAAAAAAAATAATGGGTACTGTTTATTTCGATCTAATTAAAAAACGACATTTTCATAGGAAAAAAAGGTGGACAAGAAAATATACCTGGGACCAGATGGAAACACACATCCAGTAATTGTAGCTGTATATCATTAACCAACAAATATCACAAGAGAAAATCATGTTAGTACCACAATGAAAATAGATCATTGCAAAAAAGTAGCACAAACAGAAAAGAAAAAAAGAAAAATATTCGTTTAGATTACAAGTAGCTAGATATTCCTTTTCCTTTACAAGACCACAAGAAGTAATTTGTCACTTAATGCTTGTAATTGTAAATGGCAGGTTTTGAGATTCTGTAAGATGAAAAATGGAGTTCAATGACAGTAAGACTAAACTCCAGGGTCCATTCTGGCAAATCCAATCTTACTAATCCTCTTAGAAGATTCATATTTTATTTTTCCATACATTGTACAGCATGAACCAAAAGTATTAAATACTTCCAAACAATCAAGATCTCATTTTTATCTCAAAAAAACACCAAAAACAGAAAATTTCAAAAACAGAATATATAAAAAAAAAGACATTCTCAAATATTTAAAAACTGATTACTTATTCGCGACTTACTAGGTGGGTTTGCACTAATAGTGGCGGTTCCACTAAAATCACAGCTCCCTTGAGTTTGACCCTTTATCTGATAATAACTGTTAACTGCATAATTACAGTGATCTTTAACAGTGTTAGGGTTATAACAACGCCCATTTTGCTGAATTGGGGTACAGTCAGCCCCATTTCCACATGCGTAGTCAATACTCTTCTGAAGAACATTGTCGCTCAAATTTGGATTGCACACACAGTAATTGGCATCTGTAATTTAAAAAAGAAGAATAAAGATAGAGAAAAATGAGAGAAAAGCATCAAATTTGATCAGATCAGGTAAAAAAGGGGGAAAAGCAGCATAAAAAGCTCAAGTAAAAGGAAATGGAAAATTGAAATTAAAAATAAAATTGCAAGAGTAAACAGGAGAAAGATCCAAACTTTATGCAAGCCCTTTGAAGAAAGGGAAGAGATGAAAGGGCCCTTTCAATTTTTTTTTTTTTTAAAACTTTATTCCTTGATTTGGACATAAAATACATAAAATTGTTTTAGTAAAATACAGAAGAACAAATGATTAGGACACTACAACAAATGTTTAAAGGGAGAAACATAACAAAAGTTCAGAAGAATATTAAAAGAAAAAAAAGAGAAACAGAAATGGAACTTTACCTGAATAGCCAGCCATGGCCAGTATGAGCAGAAAACCCACAAAAAAATCAGCCATTGATTATTTCAAGATTCTCAACGGAACAATAAGAAAGGATGGCACTTTTTTCAGCTCAATTTTGAGAGAGAATATATGAGCTCAAGAGAGTAGAAAAGAGCACAGTGAGGGGAATGGAGATATCTAGACAAAGATTTACAAGTGACGGTGCATATAGATATATAGTATACTATATAATTTGGACAGCATTATTATGATTTAATAATAATAGTTATTTTATTATATTGAGGTTAAAAGTGTTTATGGGGACTGAAGTATATTTGGCAAAAGCTCGAAGCTTTTTTGTCATCTTCAATGACTCTAGCATATAGGTGTACTATGTGTTTTAATTTTTAAATGTGTGGCATTCCTTTTTCTTTCCCCCAAACGGTCTTATTCATGTGAGCGATATGCTTGATTACAAAATATTTTAAAAAATTCAATCATTTTTAATTAAATATTTTTATTTAATTTACTTTTATATATATATATAATTTAGAGCAACACATCATTTAATTTTATTATCTTGCATTTAATTATATGATCCCACCAAAATATTTCAGCATTAAATTTTATTAGTTTTCAATTCCCGCCTAAAAATATTACACATATTTTATTCATTGCAATAACTAATATATTAATTGCATCTATTTTTCAGCTATATAATCTTATTATATTAAAACATTTTTTTCTTCTCCTCCAGAAATTTTAAATTTATTAGCTTCAATAAACTACAACATTGATATATACTAATTTTAGTTGCAAAGAACAAAATAAGAAATTAAATTATAAAAGTACAAATTTAAACTGAAACAAATATCAAAATCCAATTTTCTTTTGATATGGACCTGCAAATAATAAATAAATAAATTAATAAATTAAATATTACCTTCACAAATAAAAATTAACAAAAAAAAAGAAAAAAACTATTTTCTTTCATAATATCATGTTAATCTTACACAAACACGATTGTATCTATTAAAAATTCAAAGCCTGCTATCAAACAACTCAGATTTTTTTCATAACTTATTGTTATTATTAAATATATGATACTGAACCAAAAACAACAAATAAAACAAAGACTGAAATACTTTTTTTTTCCTATTTTATTATTTTCCCAATAAACGTATCAATTTGTGAATTTGCATACTCTGATTTTAAAAAAATCTTACACAAATACATAATACTCTTACATAATACACATCTATCATGCATAATAATGATAATAAATGTAGCTGCTGAAATCAGGGCACTATTTTTTTTCTTTATTCTATTATCTTAAATCATGCCCAAAAAACGTGTCAATTTAGAGATTTGCTTATTCTAATTTTAAAAAAATCTTGCACAAACGCATAATACTCTTATATAACACACACCTATCATGCATGATATATAATAAATGTAGTTGTTGATAGCTGCTGAAATCAGCCCACTATATTTTTTTTTCTTTTTACTATTATATTAAATCATGCCCAAAAAATGTGTCAATTTGGAGATTTGCATACTCTGATTTTGCTTCTTATTAAAATTTATTTAATTCCTATTTAGAATTCATTGGCAAAATATTATAAATATCTACAACAACTCCCATTTACCCAACAACAATGCTTTTTTACTTTTTGAAAAATTTCAAGGCTCTAAAAACTGAACAGCAATGGCCCAAAACTTTCAAAAACTCTTCTTCTTCAATGAAAACATGGATAATAAAATAACAAATCGACAGGTTTGAATATGATAATATGTGGTGATGGTGATTACGACGATAGGAAAACCACGTATGCTGTATACAAATAAGTGTTTAATAATATTTAGAATCATTTTCTAAATTCATATTTTTTTCATGAATTAAATTATGATTATGTATTTTTGTTTTTCTTTTATATTGTTATCGTTTCTAATTATTTTCCTCCGTGCAAATGCACGGGTTGATTACTAGTTATCCTTAATGTTATTAATATAATTAAATAATATCAATCAATTATTTTTTCACATTAAATCAACTTTAATTTACTATTTATCTGTTCAAATAATTTTAACGATCACTCCATATTATTTCTTTCTTACTTTTACATGAATATAAACTCAAAATCTCACTACCAACAAACTATATCACATTTTTCAAAATAAACAAAACCAAATTAATAACAAAACCAAAAAAATCTTACATTAACATCCAACGTTGGACCACCTTGTTTATGCCTGGGATTATTACCTATAAATCAGTTTTTTCTTCTACAACATTCTTTTGCTTTCGATCTGACATCACATGAGTAATTTAGCCGAACATCGGATACTGTAAATGGGCAACAAATAAATTTGACATAAGTTGTTCCGATTTTTAACACACCGTGAAGAAATTAGGCTGGTTTTCAAAATCATGGCATTAGCTGGGTTTAATCATCGTGTAAAAATTAATTTGTGCAAAAAAAAGAAGGAAATAAAAACAGTATATACTTATTACAGAATGATAAAAAAACATAGATATACAACTAAAATTGAAATGATAGAAATAAATATTTAAAATTGCTTCAAATGNTAATTATATTTTACATTTATATGGTTATTTTCTCCCATTTATTATCTTTTTAGTACCTTCATATTTTTTAATATTTAATGATTTAAAATATAAATTAGTATGTATAACTTTAATATTTTCAAACTTTGTGAAATATGATTATTCCTTTTATTAGTTTTAAATTAATATTATATTTTTTCAAATCATAATAACATTTTTTTCTCTATAGATTTATTTAATTAGAAAATAACTTTTTTGGTACGTGGAGGACATGTCGAGTTAGGGCCCTCGAATGGCCTAGTTGAAACTCGACCCGTAATGGCAAATGGTAGTCTAATCGACCAGAAGTCACACTTGGAGCAGACAGCGCTAGATCTCAATCGACATAGAGTTGGTCGTATCATCAAATGAGTCAAAAGATAAGAGAGAATCTTATGAGAATTAAGCCCCACATGGGTAAAACCACATGACACCACCTCATTGGTCCACGCTTCATAATTGTCTCTGACACTCTCTGATAAAAGGGTGGTACTATCGGGTAGCCCGAGCAGTGGGGGCAACCAGCTCATTATATCCGGGCAGCCTTCTAGAAGCAGGTTTCTCACCCCTATAAAATATAAATAGGGGTGAGATGCATTATTTTACCTCAGCACACTCATTTTTACTCTACAGTTTTTTAGAGTTCATCTCCTACATATACTCATTTAAACATCATAGGGTCTTCACCGGAAAACTCCTCTGGTGTGAGAGTTTTTGCAGGTCGAAGGCGTTCAACCAGCGAGGGAGCACGTGAGCGAGCCGATTCCAGACGGTTGATGGTCTTTTCATACCAAGGACATCCACTTAAATCTTATTTTTTTATTAGGCACATTAATTGGGAAAATTAAATAGATAAGGACATCTACTTAATTCTCATTTTGTTTAAAAGAAATTTTGAATTAAAAACTGAAATAAAAACTTAGTCTAGCTATTAATGAAATGCAAGTATAAACATGATATGCTTCTATTAAATAACGGTGTGTTACAAGACAACTAATAAAAATCACCTAATTAAAACACCTTTATCTATTTTCTTTCTCTCTCTTCTCTTTTTTCTCTCCCTTCCTTATCTCAGTTTTCATTCTCTTTCCCCACATTATTTTCTCTATTCTTCTTCGGCTTTCTTCTTTTTTATTCTTTTCTAAACATGAATGCCTAAGAATAAAGACAAAAAAAAGTGATAAAAATATTGTACACACATAACTTATTTCAAATTATAGGCGGTCAATCACTGAAGACGTTAAGGCAACAAAAAAAAAACACACACACACACATCTTAGAAGAAAAACTGTAAAAAGTGTGAGAGAAAAATAACAAGATTAAAAAATAAATGTTTTTGTACAGCAACAACAAAAAAATACAATAAACACCTATCAACATAAAAATAACACATCTTATAGTACAAATTGTTAATTTTTGTTCGACTGCTAAACATGCCCACTTAGAAACGTGTA